TCAAGACCATGGCCACCTCTGGGGTGTCAGGCAGAGTGAGGGACAACAGGACTAGGAGACGTGCACGGGGTTTCAGCCGACTCCACTGGTTGGTTCTTTTTTTTTTGAGACAGAGTCTTGCTCTGTCGCCCAGGCTGCAGTGCAGTGGCATGATCTTGGCTCACTGCAATCTCCGCCTCCTGGGTTTAAGCGATTCTCCTGCCTCAGCTTCCTGAGTAGCTGGGATATAATGTAGGCATGTGCCACCACGCTCGGCTAATTTTTGTATTTTTAGTAGAGACGGAGTTTCACCATGTCAGCCAGGCTAGTCTCAAACTCCTGCTTTGTGATCCACCCGCCTTGGCCTCCCAAAGTGCCGAGATTACAGAGGTGAGCCACCGCGCCTGGCCATGGGTATTTCTTTTAAAACAACTGCAAGTCAGCCTTTCTGGAGGTTGGGCTTTGATAGGGCTGGGTGGTATGTGCAGGGCTGTTCATTATACTTGCTCTACTGTTTCGTAGGCTCAAAATATGGAATGTAAAAAGCAGACCACTGCTATGGAAGACAAATAGAGCCCTTTGCTCAAAAACGATGAATTTCGAGAGTGACCATGGAACATTAAACCTAGCAAGGGTGGCTCTGGGCTGGGATGGCTGTGAGGTCCACAGAGCATCAGAAGCCAGTGGTCTTGGGCCCTCTGCCCCAGGAGCAGAAAGTTCAAAGGGCCAATTCATCTGGCTTCTGCCTTGCAGTTTACAGGGCTACCCTTGTGCCTCTGGAAAGCTCACGGGCTGCCCTGAGGCAGTAAGGGGACCCTGGACCCTGTGTTCTGCAAACTGCTTATCACTGTTAGCCTGTAGGAAAGCTGTAGTCCCAGGGTGCAAAGGGAGGGCCTGTTCCTCTCCCTTGCTCCAGCCCTCTTTTCTCTGAGCTCTGATCCGACCCTTGTCACTCCCAGCCTTTGCTCCTGCAGTGTGGCTGCCTGGCATACCCTCCTTGCTGGGGCCCTGCTGAGGAAGCCCCCCCCTGAGGCCACAGTGCCATGACTGCTCTCACCATTCGTGGCTGCCTCTTTTGGCCTCCCAGTGTCCAATCCCTGCACTTCCGTCACTAGGAAAGAAAGAGCCTCAGTCATGGGACTGGGCCCTGGGTGGATGGAATCTCCACGTGGGGTCACAGGGGCAAAGATGCGGGAGGACAAAGCCCTCTCAGGGGAGAGGGGAGCTAAGAGAGGAGACAGGGAGGAAGCCCAGTTCCAACCCCATATTTCCCAGCTCCCAGAGTCGGGATGCAGACCTAAGCGTCTCTCCCCACCAACAGCCAGCGATGGGGCCTGCGCCCTGTGAAGGCTTAAGGATCTCTAGGATTCCTGAGTGTTGCAGGAGGCGCTGCATGTGGCTGGGAGGAAGTGGCCGGGCAGCGTCCTTCCCAGAGAGCAGCCGGTGAGGAGCAGCGGACACAAAGCCACAGGACAGATGGACGCATGGGAAATGGAGGCATCTTTAATCACTGAGTGAGAAACCCGAGGCAGATGAGGCGTGCAGCACATTTATATGTAAAAATAATTAAAAACACAGCCGCGGGGCAGGAGAGGTTTGCTGGTCGGGAGGGACCGGGCAGGGGTGGGAGCGATGCGGGCGGGCAGGAGGGCAGTTCGGTCCTCGGAGACGTCAGGCCCCCTGCCCGTCCCAGGGCTCGGAGCCTGCGCCTCTCACCTTCCTGCTGGCACATCTGTGTCAGGTCCTCCACCAGGCTGGCGGCCTCCCTGCAGCTTCGGGGGCCCTGTGACTGCACCCAGGTCCGCATCTTGCTGGGCAGCGCGCCCAGGAACTGCTCCAGCACCAGCAGCTCCAGCATCTGCTCCTTGGAGCGCGCCTCCGGCCTCAGCCACTGGCGGCACAGCGTCCAGAGCTGGCCCAGCGCGAGGTGAGGCCCGCCCGCCACGTGGTACTGGAACTGCCGGAAGCGCAGACGCTGGGCTTCAGTGTCCCTGGGGCTTGCTGGCCCAGGGTCCGCGTCCTGCTCACTCAGGGTTGGGGTCTGGGGGCGTCTGGGGGAGGCAGGGGCTTTGGGCCGTGGGAGCATTTCTCTGGCCACAGGGCCTGTCTGAGGGGTGTGTGTGGACTGGATCCCGAGTGGCTCCGGACACAGCCAGTGTGGCAGGCGGGCAGAGTCAGCAATCAGGGGCCTGCAGAGAGGGGCAGGGACAGAAGGGCCACATCAGATGGTGGCCCTCCATACTCAGGATGCCCCTCGGCTCCCTGCTTCCTTGTCCTGATCTCCAGCACCCCAAGGAACTAACCTGACCTCTTCCCACCTCCTGACCTAATCTTCCACATGCCTCTCACGGGCTACTCTGCACTGAGTTCAAGCCACTGGCTGCCCCAGGACCTTTGCACCTGCCATCCCACCCCAGCTCCTCCCCTCGAAGATGTCCCAGCCATCATCCTCATGGCGCCCTCTTCACAACCCCTATGACTTTCTGAACATATCTTTTCCCCTTACTTAGTTTAGCGTCTATCTCCCTCTCATTTAGTCACTCAACACACATCGATTGAGCTGGGGGAACAAGAATGCCTGCCCTGTGGTGTGGCCAGCACTGCCCAGCGTAGTTCCTACAGGAATGTAAACATTCTCTACCCATGCAGCCACCTACAGGTGGCTGGGAGCACCTGAAATAGGAACTGAATTTTAAATTTAAATTCCATTTAAATGGAAGCAGCCAGGTGGGCTACATAATAATGGATGACAGCACCAGCAGCAGCAGCTCTGCCCATGGTGTTATCTTTGCTGTCTTCCTGCCTTTCCTACCAAGTCCAAGTTGGGAGAGGAGACCAGGAAGAGGGCAGGGGAGACTGGAGACTCTGAAAAGAGAGGGAAAGTGGGAAGGGCAATTAAAAAATAACCTTTTGTGGCCGAGTGCGGTGGCTCACACCTGTAATTCCAGCACTTTCGGAGGCTGGGGTGGGTGGATCACCTGAGGTCAGCAGTTCGAGACCAGCCTGACCAACATGGCGAAACCGCGTGTACTAAAAATACAAAAATTAGCCAGTGTGGTGGTGCACACCTCTAATCCCAGCTACCGGGGAGGCTGAGGCAGGAGAATCGCTTGAACCCAGGAGGCGGAGATTGCAGTGAGCTGAGACTGTGCCACTGCACTCCAGCCTAAGTGACAGAGTAAGACTCTGTCTCAAAAAAAAAAAAAGAAGTTACCTTTTGTACATTTTCCAAGCCCATTATGGTAAACATATAACTGAAGAAAACATTAAAAGTTGTGAAAATAAAAATAAGCAGGGAGGTTTTGGTTGTTTGTCTTTAACTATTGTACTCTGGACTGATCTGCTGGTGAGAATATAAATTGTCACGACCTTTCTGGAAAGCACTGTGGCCACTTATATATCAAGAACACTTGGTAGATTGCGTGCAAGATGTGAGATTCAGGCACCAAGATTCACTACAAAAGTGCCCAACAGTTGAATGTGGTGGGATCAACTACCTTCCCCATCATGTGACGGGAGTATTCAACTGTGTCCAGTACACAACACCATGACATGACCATGGGGAATAGACACATGATGTACAGATGACATGAGGCATAGGGAACGTGGGATGCAGGATGATGCATGAGTGTCATAGAAAGGGAGTGCTGGGAAGAGGCCCACGGGGGGGCAGCCAAGTGCTTTGTGCTCCTCATACTTCTCTGAATCTCCAAATGGTGTCAGGATCCCATGTGACCTTCATCAACATGGAAAAACAAAAACAAAACAAGAAATCTTTAGGAAGGATTTTTAACCGTATGGGAAATGCTTATGACAAATGAAAAGGAGGGATTCCATGGGATTTTTCCCTCTTCATCTTCTGCTGCATTTTTCATACACTCTGCAGTTCTTGTGCATCTGGTTTTACAATCCAGGAGAAAGGAGAGGTGCAGGGTGGCAGAAAAGGCAACTCATGGGGACTGTGCCCGGCCAGCCATCTTCGAGTCAGCGTACCCAGCCACCCGCACCCTGATTGGGAAACTACCAGCTTGGTCTTCCCTGCCAAGGCCACAGGCAAAAATGCTCTCTTATGTTGTATTCACGCTCTTATATATATAGTTTTGAGTAAGAAAAAAGGGCCCATTTGGAAGCTCCACAGGTTCAAGAAGTCCCTTTGCCCTGGGGCCTCAGACCTTACACTCTCTCAGGTGCTCATGGCAGCTCACACTGGAGACTGCAGGGAGGGGGGCTGTAGCCCCTCAGCATCCTCCAGGGTCTTGGGCTGGGGTCTGTGGGAGGAGAGGCTAAGTTTATCCCGGATGAGGGTAAAGAGGAGGTCTTAGCAGAAGGCACCAGAGGTCCATGGGTGTGTCTGGGGTCTATATGGGGGCTGACGGAAAACCTGGGCCAATGTGGGGGTGCCTGAGCTGATGAGAGTCCAGGACTGATGGGGGGGCCACTTCTGGAAGATGAAGAGGGCCTGCAATGATGTGGAGGGGACTGAGGTCTACATGGCTGGTGAGGAGGATCTGGGCCCCCCATGGGCAATGCTGTGGTGGCCCTGGGGTCCTAGAAGTCTACTTTGGTGGGAGTCTGGGATTAATGCTGGGGATGTGTGTGTGAGAGAGAGTGTCACTTGGAGGGCTCAGTGCCTGTGGAAGGGCCAGGTTCACTTGACATGAGCACTGAGATCTGCAGCCCAAGCCCCCAATTCTATTGTGGGGATGGGCGGGAGGGCTTTGCTGCTGATGGCGGATGCTTAGTGGCATAGTAGACGTGTTCGCTGCGACAGTCAGTGAATGGCTATGGCTCTGAGAAGAGGGCTTAGAGTAGGGAGGGCGTTGGGAGCTTAGGATGCCACTCGGGGGAGCTCCATAATAAATGGGCTGGGGAAGTGTGCACTGGGAACACGGGGGAGGGGCAGCGACGACGGCTGGTCGGGTGGGGGATGGGTCGTGGCGGCTCCTCAGGAGGGAGATGGGCCCGGGCGGGGGAGCTTGTAGGGAGGGAGACGGGTCGGGGACTGCTGTTCCAGTGGGGGATGGGCCCGGGGGGCTGGTAGGGAGGGAGATGGGTCCGGGGGCAGCTGTTCAGGAGGGAGATAGGTCACGGGATGCCGATCATGTGTGGAAGGGAGAACTTGGACGCGGCCGAGCGGTGTCTGGGCGGACAAAGCGGGTACGTAGAGGGGCTTCGGCCTCAAACTGGCAGGCGGATGCCAACGTGGGTTGGAATCCCTGAGGAAGGGGCGGCCCTAGCCCCCAAGTCCCCCGCGCCGCGTGGCCTCTAGCCTTCCCCTCCCCTCCCCTACGGCGACCTCAGGACTCCGGACGGGCTCTGGAACCCCGGCCCGGTCCGCCCCCGCCCGGGCCCGCCTCCCCCGACGCGCGCCCCTGGCCCGCAATCCCGAGCCAGCTCCCGCCGACACGGCGCCGCGCCCCTCCCGGGTGGGCGTCCCGATGGACGCTCTGGCGGGCGGAGGGACGGATGGGCCGCGGCGGACTCACCGCGCGCGGGCTTCGCTCGGGCCTGGGCCGCTCAGTCATGGCGACCCCTGGGCTGGCGAGCGCGCCCCACGCCGCGGGCGGACCCCATCCCGGCACCCCGCGCGCCGCGGGCGGCCGCCATTGGTCCGCTGGAGCGCGCCGAGCGTCGGCGACATGTCACGCGCCGCGGGACTCCCGGGCAGGGGCGGGGCTGTGACGCATGAGGCGGCCGGGGCCAGTCAGAAGCCGCCTGGAATGAGCGCCCCGCCCCCGCCGTGCCCTCCAGTAACCTCCGGCCGCGGTTACGGTCGCCTTGGCAACGGGTAGCGCAGCGTAGGGGGCACTGCTGGGGGATGTGGAGAAGGGGGAGGCTGCGGGGATGCCCATGTACGAAGCGGCCGTGGGCAAAACGAGGACGTTCCAGACACACAACCGTTTTTTACAGTGTCCAAGAGTAGTATGTGAAAACATTGTTTTTAATATAAATATGTTTGGTACGATTATGTCCCAGACTAGGATCGCCAGACTTAGCAAATGAAAATACAGGACGTCGGCCGGGCGCGGTGGCTCACGCCTGTAATCCCAGCACTTTGGAAGGCGGAGGCAGGCGGATCACGAGGTCAGGAATTCGAGACCAGCCTGACCAATATGGTGAAACCCCGTCTCTATTAAAAATACAAAAATTAGCTGGGCGTGGTGGCGCATGCCTATAATCCCAGCTACTCAGGAGGCTGAGGCAGGAGAATCACTTGAACCGGGGAGAAGGAGGTTGCAGTGAGCCGAGATCACTCCATTGCACTCCAGTTTTCCAGCCTGGGTGACAGAGCGAGACTCCGTCTCAAATAAAAAAAGAAAAGAAAAGAAAAAGAAAGCTCAGTTATATGTAAACTGAAGAAAAACAAGTAGGCCCGGTGCGGTGGCTCACGCCTGTAATCCCAGACTTGGGAGGCCGAGGCAGGCGAATCACCTGAGGCTGGGTGTTTGAGACCGGCCTGGCCAACATGGTGAAACCCCGTCTCCATTAAAAATACAAAAATTAGCCAGGAATGGTGGCGCATGCCTGCAATCCCAGCTACTTGGGAGGCTGAAGTTGGAGAATCGCTTGAACCGGGGAAGCAGAGGTTGCAGTGAGCCAAGACCTGCCAACACACTCCAGCCTGCCCTGGGCAACAGAGTGAGACTCTGTCTCAAAAAAAAAAAAAAAAGAAAAGAAAAAGAAAAAGAAAAGGAATTAGTATCAATGTGTCCTATATTTCATATACTTTAATGAAACATTACATAAGTACATTTCATATACATAAGTTTTAATATTGTCTACAATGTAACCATGTGCCAGAATAGTAGGATTCCACATATATTCCGTTTGTATCTGAAAATCAGGTGGGGGTGAGATCATGATGCAAGGAGGGTCCTCAGCTCTGGGACTGAGCTCAGGGTAGGTGAAGCTGCCCATTGCTGAAGAAGCAGGAGAGTGTGAGCTAAGGAAGGAGAGGAGGACCCACCTCCAGGGGCCTGGGCCTGACCACCATGCATCTGCTGAACAGCTGTTTATTGAGGGCCTATAGGTACTAGGCACTGTTCTCGGACACGCCTGCGGCGTGCGCGCAGACACCGTCAGCGCAGAAAACAAGGGGAAAAACCAAACCTGAATAAACGCGCTTTCTTAAGCCCCCTGAAAAACCCCCATGCGAGTTTCATGGGGCTCCCCAAACCACCCGGCCCAAGTTTTTCAAAAAACAAAAAAGGCCAAAGAAAAATTTGGCTATTTCCCAACTCGGGAATAAAAATAAACGCGTAAATTACCTAGAAAAAAGAAAAAAAAATAAACAGGGGCCCCTGGGGAAAAGAATTTTAAAAAGAAAAGGTTCCCCAGGAAGTTTGCGGGGCCACCCCCCGAGCGCGTGGGCCAAAGGCCTGCAATTCCCCAGCCCAAAACTGTCTTTGGAAAGGTGGAGGTGGGCGGGGGATTATGAAAGAAGGTTCAGCGAAGATGGAGAAAACCAATCCTGGGCTAAACAACAGTGAAACCCCGTCTACCAAAAATAAACAAACAAAAATTAAGCTCGGGTGTGGTGGCAAGGCACCCTGTACGTTCATCCCCCAACCTACATCTGAGAAAGGCCTGAAGGAAGAAGAAATTGTCCCCTGAAATCCCGGGAAGGTGTGAGCCTTGCAGTGAAAGCCGAGATTCGCCGTTCTCCTGCCCAAAAAACCCCAGCCTGGGTGAACAAGAGAAACCCTTCATCTCAAAAAAAAAAAAAAAAAAAAAAACTTTTCATTTCTAATATGATTAGTCTTCATTTCAACTCCTAGGCATCTTTTATCCCAACAAAGAAATGTGTTGCCTGGCCGGACAGCGCGGTGCGGCTCAAGCCTGGGTAATCCAGGCACTTCTTGGGAGGCCGAGCGGGTGATCACGAGGTCCAGGAGAGTCCGGAGCACCGATCCTTGGCTTAACATGGCTGAAACCCCGTCTCTACTAAAATACAAAAACTAGCTGGGGTGGTGGTGGCGGCGCGCCTTGTAAGTCCCAGACTACTCGGCAGGCTGAGGCGGGAAGAAATGGCGTGAAACCCGGGAGGCGGAGCTTTGCCAGTCGAGCTGAGATTGGCGGGCACTGCACTCCCAGCTGGCGCAGGCCACGACCTCCGCTCTCAAAAAAAAAAAAAAAAGAAATGTGTTCCATTAGGAAGACTTGTACACGAATGTTCACATAAGTTTATTTTTAACAGCCCCAAATAGAAACAGCTCACATATCCAGCGTGATAAACAATTGTGGTGCATCCATGAGATGGAACACCACTCAGCAATAGAAGGAATGAGCTACTTACATAATGCAACAAAATGGATAATCTCAAAATAATTATGCTGAGTAAAATAAGCCAGATCACAAAAGAGTACACTCAATTGTGTCACTGCATTTATATACAACTGTTAGAAAATCCAAACTAATCTGTATATATAACAGAAAGATTGGCGGTGGTTTGAAAGCAGGGCAGAGGGGCGTGGAATGCTGAACCGAGGGGCTTCAAGAGTCCTGGGAAACCAGAGCTAGTGATGGTTTTGTGGGTTTAGAGATTTGTCAAAACGCATGCAGGCGACCGCAGTGGGAGGAAGGGAGGGCGGGCGAGTGCACAGCTGGAGGCCCCCGGGGCTGGAGGAGGTGCTTGCTGCCTGGCAGGGTTCCCCTGTCATCTGCTGGGCACCGAGCCCAAGCGGCGCATTACCCAGGTAACCCGCGTGGACGCTGAGGCTCGCGGCTGTCGCTGTGACCGGCTTCTGGTTTTCTGGTAGTCTGGTCTTTCTGGGCGGGGCCGAACGAGGTGAGGCAGCCCAGGCCATGGAGTGTGCCACCGTCGTCTGGTATTTTGATGCCAAGGAACGAGAGGCAGCCAGACGAGCATCAGCGTCAGGGCGGAAAGGAGCCTGTGCCCTGGAGCCAGGATGCAGCGCCTGGGGAGAGTCATTGCCTCCTGCCGGCATCCCAAGCCCGCCCGCTTCTCCGGCCTAGAATGCGGAGTGAGTCTCCCACCTCTTTGGCCAGGCCACTTTTGCACTGGGCCGCCGCTGCTTGGGCTGGGTGAAAGGTGCTGAGAGGAGCATGGGTGTGGAAGTCCTGTCAGCTAGAAATAAAAGTTTACCTCAGGGCTCCAAGACAAAAAACTTACGACGTTACTCACTTCAAACATGTGCATTTTATCTGCAGTGTGCAATTACACCACAATTAAGTTGATTTAAAAAAAACCCAAAAACTTAGAATAGGTAGGATACTATTTTTAGGACCTAGATGTAGTTGGGATCTTGAAAGTAATACATAAAACACAAGTTATGAAAGAAAAAGTTTTTTTTTTTCTTTTTTTTTTTTTGAGACGGAGTCTCGCTCTGTC